TTCGACATTAAAATTGCCAAAATTTGACAAAAATTGAATTTTGTATATTTAAAAACTGAGTATGCAGCTTTGTTAATCTACTAAAAAATAGCATAGAACAGCTTTCCGAATTAAAATTAATGATTTTTTGGCTTAGTTATGAGTTTTTTAAAACTATGATTTTTGGGAAAAATGGTCTATTTTTATACCTTTTTGCGGAGTTTTTATAATTATAGTCAGAAACTTATAACAGCATCAACAAACGCAGTATGCAGATTTGTTAGTGCTATAAAAAGTTGCACAGAAAAGTATTCCGATCAAAATTAATGCCATTTTGGCTTAATTATGATGTTTGGAAAACTCCGATTATTTAAGAAAATTGTCTGTTTTTATGCCTTTTTTCGGAGTATAGCTTCAATTAGAAGATTAAAACGCAGTGAAGGAATCATTTCCGACCCTATAAACCATATATATTCTTGATCAGCATCAACAGCCCAGTCGTTCTAGCCATGTCTGGTCAAAAAATAAATTTTCGACATTAAAATTGCCAAAATCTGACAAAAATTGAATTTTGTATATTTAAAAACTGAGTATGCAGCTTTGTTAATCTGCTAAAAAATAGCATAGAACAGCTTTCCGAATTAAAATTAATGATTTTTTGGCTTAGTTATGAGTTTTTTAAAACTATGATTTTTGGGAAAAATGGTCTATTTTTATACCTTTTTGCGGAGTTTTTATAATTATAGTCAGAAACTTATAACAGCATCAACAAACGCAGTATGCAGATTTGTTAGTGCTATAAAAAGTTGCACAGAAAAGTATTCCGAATCAAAATTAATGCCATTTTGGCTTAATTATGATGTTTGGAAAACTCCGATTATTTAAGAAAATTGTCTGTTTTTATGCCTTTTTTCGGAGTATAGCTTCAATTAGAAGATTAAAACGCAGTGAAGGAATCATTTCCGACCCTATAAACCATATATATTCTTGATCAGCATCAACAGCCCAGTCGTTCTAGCCATGTCTGGTCAAAAATAAATTTTCGACATTTTTCCGAAATTGAAAATTTTATAATTGCCAAAATTTGACAAAAAATTGAATTTTGTATATTTAAAAACTGAGTATGCAGCTTTGTTAATCTACTAAAAATAGCATTGAACAGCTTTCCGGATTAAAATTAATGATTTTTTGGCTTAGTTATGAGTTTTTTAAAACTATGATTTTTGGGAAAAATTTCCTGTTTTTATACCTTTTTGCGGGGTTTTTAAATTATAGTCAGAAACTTATAACAGCATCAACAAACGCAGTATGCAGATTTGTTAGTGCTATAAAAAGTTGCACAGAAAAGTATTCCGAATCAAAATTAATGCCATTTTGGCTTAATTATGATGTTTGGAAAACTCCGATTATTTAAGAAAATTGTCTGTTTTTATGCCTTTTTTCGGAGTATAGCTTCAATTAGAAGATTAAAACGCAGTGAAGGAATCATTTCCGACCCTATAAACCATATATATTCTTGATCAGCATCAACAGCCCAGTCGTTCTAGCCATGTCTGGTCAAAAAATAAATTTTCGACATTAAAATTGCCAAAATTTGACAAAAAATTGAACTTTGTATATTTAAAAACTGAGTATGCAGCTTTGTTAATCTACTAAAAAATAGCATAGAACAGCTTTCCGAATTAAAATTAATGATTTTTTGGCTTAGTTATGAGTTTTTTAAAACTATGATTTTTGGGAAAAATGGTCTATTTTTATACCTTTTTGCGGAGTTTTTATAATTATAGTCAGAAACTTATAACAGCATCAACAAACGCAGTATGCAGATTTGTTAGTGCTATAAAAAGTTGCACAGAAAAGTATTCCGAATCAAAATTAATGCCATTTTGGCTTAATTATGATGTTTGGAAAACTCCGATTATTTAAGAAAATTGTCTGTTTTTATGCCTTTTTTCGGAGTATAGCTTCAATTAGAAGATTAAAACGCAGTGAAGGAATCATTTCCGACCCTATAAACCATATATATTCTTGATCAGCATCAACAGCCCAGTCGTTCTAGCCATGTCTGGTCAAAAATAAATTTTCGACATTTTTCCGAAAATTGAAAATTTTATAATTGCCAAAATTTGACAAAAAATTGAATTTTGTATATTTAAAAACTGAGTATGCAGCTTTGTTAATCTACTAAAAAATAGCATTGAACAGCTTTCCGGATTAAAATTAATGATTTTTTGGCTTAGTTATGAGTTTTTTAAAACTATGATTTTTGGGAAAAATTTCCTGTTTTTATACCTTTTTGCGGGGTTTTTAAAATTATAGTCAGAAACTTATAACAGCATCAACAAACGCAGTATGCAGATTTGTTAGTGCTATAAAAAGTTGCACAGAAAAGTATTCCGAATCAAAATTAATGCCATTTTGGCTTAATTATGATGTTTGGAAAACTCCGATTATTTAAGAAAATTGTCTGTTTTTATGCCTTTTTTCGGAGTATAGCTTCAATTAGAAGATTAAAACGCAGTGAAGGAATCATTTCCGACCCTATAAACCATATATATTCTTGATCAGCATCAACAGCCCAGTCGTTCTAGCCATGTCTGGTCAAAAAATAAATTTTCGACATTAAAATTGCCAAAATTTGACAAAAAATTGAACTTTGTATATTTAAAAACTGAGTATGCAGCTTTGTTAATCTACTAAAAAATAGCATAGAACAGCTTTCCGAATTAAAATTAATGATTTTTTGGCTTAGTTATGAGTTTTTTAAAACTATGATTTTTGGGAAAAATGGTCTATTTTTATACCTTTTTGCGGAGTTTTTATAATTATAGTCAGAAACTTATAACAGCATCAACAAACGCAGTATGCAGATTTGTTAGTGCTATAAAAAGTTGCACAGAAAAGTATTCCGAATCAAAATTAATGCCATTTTGGCTTAATTATGATGTTTGGAAAACTCCGATTATTTAAGAAAATTGTCTGTTTTTATGCCTTTTTCGGAGTATAGCTTCAATTAGAAGATTAAAACGCAGTGAAGGAATCATTTCCGACCCTATAAACCATATATATTCTTGATCAGCATCAACAGCCCAGTCGTTCTAGCCATGTCTGGTCAAAAAATAAATTTTCGACATTTTTCCGAAAATTGAAAATTTTATAAGGGGTTACATCATTAAAATTGCCAAAATTTGACAAAAAATTGAATTTTGTATATTTAAAAACTGAGTATGCAGCTTTGTTAATCTACTAAAAAATAGCATTGAACAGCTTTCCGGATTAAAATTAATGATTTTTTGGCTTAGTTATGAGTTTTTTAAAACTATGATTTTTGGGAAAAATTTCCTGTTTTTATACCTTTTTGCGGAGTTTTTAAATTATAGTCAGAAACTTATAACAGCATCAACAAACGCAGTATGCAGATTTGTTAGTGCTATAAAAAGTTGCACAGAAAAGTATTCCGAATCAAAATTAATGCTATTTTGGCTTAATTATGATGTTTGGAAAACTCCGATTATTTAAGAAAATTGTCTGTTTTTATGCCTTTTTTCGGAGTATAGCTTCAATTAGAAGATTAAAACGCAGTGAAGGAATCATTTCCGACCCTATAAACCATATATATTCTTGATCAGCATCAACAGCCCAGTCGTTCTAGCCATGTCTGGTCAAAAAATAAATTTTCGACATTTTTCCGAAAATTGAAAATTTTATAAGGGTTACATCATTAAAATTGCCAAAATTTGACAAAAAATTGAATTTTGTATATTTAAAAACTGAGTATGCAGCTTTGTTAATCTACTAAAAAATAGCATAGAACAGCTTTCCGAATTAAAATTAATGATTTTTTGGCTTAGTTATGAGTTTTTTAAAACTATGATTTTTGGGAAAAATTGTCTGTTTTTATACCTTTTTGCGGGGTTTTTATAATTATAGTCAGAAACTTATAACAGCATCAACAAACGCAGTATGCAGATTTGTTAGTGCTATAAAAAGTTGCACAGAAAAGTATTCCGAATCAAAATTAATGCTATTTTGGCTTAATTATGATGTTTGGAAAACTCCGATTATTTAAGAAAATTGTCTGTTTTTATGCCTTTTTTCGGAGTATAGCTTCAATTAGAAGATTAAAACGCAGTGAAGGAATCATTTCCGACCCTATAAACCATATATATTCTTGATCAGCATCAACAGCCCAGTCGTTCTAGCCATGTCTGGTCAAAAAATAAATTTCCGACATTTTTCCGAAAATTGAAAATTTTATAAGGGTTACATCATTAAAATTGCCAAAATTTGACAAAAAATTGAATTTTGTATATTTAAAAACTGAGTATGCAGCTTTGTTAATCTACTAAAAAATAGCATAGAACAGCTTTCCGAATTAAAATTAATAATTTTTTGGCTTAGTTATGATTTTTTTAAAACTATGATTTTTGGGAAAAATTGTCTGTTTTTATACCTTTTTGCGGGGTTTTTATAATTATTGGCAGATGGTTTTAGGACAAAGGAGTCAACATTTAATCTTTGTTTAATATTTTTCTAGTTAAAAGTAATGTTAAAAGGCAACCCATTCAGAAACCAAATTAATTCAAGAAAGAAAACTGCAAGGCTTATATTTGAATTAAGTTTATTTTGCATTGTCTTCTATGGTACAATATAGTCTGGTAAACAGAGAGTACTATTTATAGGCTTGTGTTTAATTGAATACAAAAAAGCTTTTATCTCATTACCGACGATTCGGGAGTCCAATGAGAAAGTTTCAAGTTTCCAAATTTCAAATCAGACTCGCAAAAGTCGCTGTGAATGCGGGATGTGGATTGTCATTGGTGGTTGCGTGGATCTCTGAATATCTGGGTGGTGAGCTTACTAACTATAAGCTGTAGAACAGAACTAGATTACCACATGGTCTATCTCTCTAAACGGGGGGTGTTAATCTCCCCGCTGTCTCATGAACTTTGAATAAATAATACAAACTAAATTGGACTAAACTAGCGTGGGTGCGTGTGGGGTAACCTCCTTGTTCCGCCTTAGCTAAGCGTCAGACTCCGGGGACCCATGCGGGGCACATTCCTGGGCCCGGCCTGGGCCTGGGGCTTTGGCAGCTCGGCGGACTTGCGGGCTCCTTCCTCCTCGTCCTCGTCCCCAAAGAGTAGCGCCGCCAGGCTCGTCTCGAAGCTGGACTTCTTGCGCTGCGTGGGCTTCGTGCTGACCACTGGGGCCTTGGTGGATGATGTTGTGCTGTCCGATTTGGTTATTCCGGGCTGATGAGTCGTCGATGTTGTTGAGGTTGTGGATGTAGAGGAAGATGAAGAACTAGAGCTACTACTGAGGGGAGCAGCGGATGTGGAAGGCCTTGCTGTAGTGCCCACCAGTGCCAGGGCCAGTGGCTGATTTGAGGCAGCATTCTTGGCACCAGCTATCTCTTCCTGCTCCACCTGCTCCACATGCATGTAGCCTGGCGGATAGATGGGCTTGAAGCCACCTTGTAGCTGTGGCTGGAAGCTGTCCATCTCGGAGTTCTTCTCCGCCGTCAGCGGACTAGCCGTGGGCTGCTCCTCCTCCACTTTCTTGTCCTCCGTAGTCTCGACATCAGCCCTGTTTATGTTGTTCTTCTCGTAGATCGCCTGATCCGTGGTCGAGGGCAAGATGTTCCAGTTACTCGGGGCCGCCGGGTTGATGGAAGCAGCTCCACTGGCTCCGCCCAGACTTACACTGGGATAGAAGGGCGCCATGAAGTCCTTCTCGAAGTTCTGGCCGCGCAGATCGAAGTCACTGCTCAAACCCTCCTCCGTCTGGGTGTCCTGGCGGATTTCGTTGATCACCGATGTGGCCAGATTGATGTTGGAGAACTTCTGGCCCTGCTCCTGACGGAAACGGCTGGGCTCCGTGGGCGTATAGGCAATGGCAATGGGCGTTTCCGTTCCGGTTCCGAGGGCTCCCGTAATAATTCTAGGAGCAATGAGTACTCCCGGAACAGCACCCTGCGACTCCGGGTTGAGCTCTGAGTACGAGGGATCTGGCTTCTCGATGGGATAGGGGAACTTATCCTTAGGTACCTGCTGCGCCTTGTTCTGCTGCTGCAGCGACTGCGGCTTTTTGTTCTTCAGGATCGGCTCCTGTGGCTGATCGCGGATTACAGAGAAAGGAGTATTCTGGTACTCAGCCGGGGCTGATGGTGCCTCTCCCTCCGGCTGACCCTTCTCTGAGCCCTTCATTGGAAAAACAACGTACAGTCCGCTAGGATCCAACTTCTGCTGGCTGAGCTTTGAGGCCTCCGCCTCCTGTGGATCGTTATCGGCCGTAACCTGGATCTCCCCGGCTCCGGTATCATCGCCGGGCAGACTCACGGCTTTCTTCTGCGATTGTAGCATCTGGAGTGTCACCACTGGCTCCAGTTTCGTCTCCTCCACGCTCTTGCGATCCTTGCCGGGGGTCACGGGCTGTGGCGGATCGTTGATTACCAGATCCTCCTCCTCGAAGTCAGCTGCTGTCTCGGCATCGATTGTCTTGTAGGGCTCTCCACCAGCCGAAGGAGCGTGGCGCTCGGCGGGATAACCGTCAACGGATCTGAGTGGTCCAGGACCGTGGGGTCGACGTGGATACATATGGTCAGGCATGTAGGGAACATTCTGGCCGCCATATGGGGGCAGCCTATAGACCCTCCTATTCACATCACCGCCCGGACTGGGTCCCACGGGATACTCCGAGATGCGGTTCATGGGATACCTTTTCTGCAGCATCTGCTGCTGCAGCTGCTGCTGGTGCAAGGGCTGGCGACGATGAGCAAACTGTGGCGGCACGGAGGGGTTGTAGGGACGCTTAGGACCGGCCTGCTGGGGCAGCCGGATGTTGCCCGCCTCCTGTTTCAACGCCGGCGGATGTCCACTGGAAATCTTAGCGTTCGGTCGGAACTGCGGCAGGATATTGGGCAGGTTGCTGGGACGCGGTCCATTCTGGGGCTTGCGGTTGAACTCGTTGTAGAAAGCTGCTGGCGGTCGCTTGCCAGGAGTGGGTGGTGCCTGGGGCACTTGCTGCGTGGTTGGGTACTGTGGCGGTGGCTCCATGTCTCGGGATGGCAGCTGGCCAAGTCCAGGCTGCTGAGCAGGGAATTTCTAGGAAGATAAGTAGAGTTTAGTTCAAGTAACAAGCTCATAAGGAGAGACTCACCAATGGTGGTTTCTGCTGGCTCAGGTTGAGCACTTCGTGCTGCTGGATCTGCACGTTGACTTTGCCGGGACCCATTTCATCCTTGACCTTGGGGAAAACAACTGGATTGGAGTTCTGGATCTGCTGGAGACTAAGGGGCTGGGCATGGCCGTTGATGTGTGGTCCAGCAGGAGGGCCTGGCATCACAGCCGAGGAAGCTAACTCCACAGACTCTTCTCCCTGTGCAGGGAACCGAATGTTGGTGGAGACCAGGAGCTCCTTGGTTTCATCTACGTGTGCGTCCACTGCTGGCGGCGTAGGTTGTGGTTGATGTGGCGTCGAGGTCTGTGGGGGTGGATAAGCCTGATTGGCCTGCTCCGGCTTTGCCACAGGTTTCTTGGATGGTCGCTTGTTGGAGCCGATCAGAGGCAGCTGCTGGTACGGACTGGGAGCTTCCGGCGGTGGCTCTTGGTAGGACACAGCTCCAGTGGCTCCTGGTGTAGCTACATTACCATTCTGATGGAAGTTGGAGTTCTGCTGCAAGCTCGGCATCTGCTGGTAGCTGGTGGGCACCGCTGGCTCCTTCATGGGTCGCTTGATGTTGCCAATGTCCTCATTAATCACTTGACCGTACTGCACACCCGGCGTGTCCTTCACAAACATCGTCTCCTTCTCCACGCTTGGGTGGCCCACGCTCACCTGCTGCACCTGACTGCCGAGCACAAAGGAGGCCGACTGCTGCCCCGGCGAGATGACCACGTTGTTGATCTGCCCCGGCGCGGGACGGTACTGCATCACATTCGGCTGCTGTACCTGGTAGGACACATACTCGTTGCTGTAGTTCTCCTGGCTGCCGGAGATCACCTTCTGATCGTTGGCATTAGTTGGTCGCTGCTGTTGCTGTTGCTGATGCTGTTGTGATCCTGGCTGCTGCATGGCGAAGGGCGATGGCTTGGATGGTGCAATCGGCTCAATGAGGTTGCCCTGGGCATCGAATCCCTGGTTCTGCTGGTAGTTGTGCGCCACATTGGACTCCTCCTCGGCGAGGCTGTTGAATATATCGCTAAGCGTCATTGGTGGCTTGGGAGGAGTCGGCAACTGTGGGTGGTTAGGTGGCTGAGGCTGCGGCACGGGCTGCTGCTGTTGATGATGTTGCTGCTGTTGCTGCTGCTGCTGTTGTTTTTCCAGTTGCTGCTGGTATGGGTGCTTCTGCTTTTCCAGTTGCAGCTGGTATTGCTGCTGCTGCTGCTCTTGATATTGCTGCTGTTGCAACAGTTGCTGCTGGTGCTGCAGCAGCTGTTGCTGCTTCTCCAGTTGCTGATGCTGCTGCTGTTCCTCGGCCTGCGTGTTCTTCTGGCCCAGCGTGTGGTAAACATCCGCTGGATCCAGGTTGGGAATACGAGTTCCAGTTCCCGGAATGGGACTAAAGGCGGGCGGTGGCGTCGGACCTTGAGTGAATACCACAGGCGGACTCGTGCTGGAGGTGGTGTACATCTTGGTGGTTGTGGTTGGCTCTGTTGGGAAGATAGCGGCCTGCGGCGTGGCGTGGTGTGTGGTGAAGGCAACGTCGCTGCTGCTGGGAGTAGGCCGGGGAGACGGGGCTGTCTTCACTGGACGCTGCTCCTCCTGGGTGAGCAGAGGCCTGGAGGTAGTGACGGGTACGGTGGGACTGTACTTCTTGGTGGGCACAAACTTCCTGCGGGTGGTGCTGGTGCGAGGCGGTTGCGGCGTCGTGGAGGCTGTGTGCACTGGAATGGGCCGTCGCGAGGTGGTGGTGTACTTGGTCGCCGGACTCGTTGACTCTGCGGCTGTGGTTGTGGTGGTGCTGACCGGCCTCCTTGAGGGCGGCAACGTTCCCCGAGTAGTCGTTGTTGTGGTGGTTGTAGTGGTGGACGTAGTGGAGCTGCTGCTGCTGCTGCCGGGATAATAAGCTCCCGCTGTAGGCGTCACTGCCGTGAGCTTGGTGGTGGGCACCGTGAAGAAGTTGGAACTGTGATAGTTGGGCGGCGGCGGCGTGACTGGAGCCACCACCGAGGTGGGCTTCTTGTTCGTGATGTAGTTCTTGTTGCTTCCCTGGTACTTCAAGTTGGCATATGAACTGGAGACCAAAGGATAGACGAACTTTGACGAGGAGTACTTTACGGGTAGGTTAAGGAAGTCATGGATGTTGGGCGAACTGGCTCCACTCAGAACGACCTTTTCATTGGGATCCAAGACCTCATTGGCCTCCGGCTGGATTCCCGCAGGCTTCTTGGCACTGAAGTCCAGCTGGCCGGAGACCGGATCCTGACGGGGATAGTATGGTTTGCCTTCGTTGAAAATCTGATTGGGTAGCACATAGCTGGTGGAGATCACGTCCTCCTCGCCAGACCCATCGGCATTTCGCGCCTCCAGGGGCAGCAGAGCCGAGGGCGTCTCCGTGGTTGGTTCTCCGTTCGTGGTAGCTACAGCCACGCACAGCAGCAGGAGCAGCAGCCCGAAACTGCGACGGCCTCCCATTTCGATTGGCTAAAAAGATAAAGATTTGGTTATTAGTTTTCAATTGAAGACCTTCCGCCCAAGCCCAAACCACTTTTAATTTCAAAGACTGCGCAAGGCCGCTGTCACTTCAAAGCTTTGACAGCGGACCGCTTCCACGTTTATGGTGCGAAAATTGCAGCCACTTGCTGGTGCTGCTTTTGCCGCTTCGAATACCGATGGCGGCCTCTCAGCCTCAGCTCAGGCAATTTGCCACCGAACCGAGCACAGCTCCGTAGGTTGCTTTAATTGAGACATGACCGTGTCCCCGCTTCTTGGCGAGAAGTGTTTTGTTTTGGCCAAAACAAAAGAGCGCAGTACCATTTCGCCAGCGCGTTATGAGTGCAGATCAAAACAGAGCTAGCCGCTGCGGCAGTGTCGCTTACAATTAACCCAACTACATACAACTGGTGCACTCCAAATTTGGCCCTGACACTGCTCCGAGCGAGTGACTGGATGGGATTGCTATGATTTTCATAAAAAGCAGCTGCAGCAGAAGCCGCAGAGCGGCTCAGGCGGCTAGAGTTGCAGTCAGCCAGCGAGCAAATAAAAGGAAAAAGTGAAATTTGACCAAATGTGAGCAGCCAGTTTTTGCAGAGCGAGTGGAAAACCCGTCTGGGAGTTGTGGCTTGTTGTGGTTATGTCAAGCGAGCCAAATGCCAGCCAGCCAGTCAGTAAGGCAGCCTGGTCAGCTAGCAGGCCAGGCCTGGCCTGGCCAATTGTCTTGGCTATTGTCTAACGCTCGTCTTCGATATTCTTCTGGCACGGAAAGAGCCGAAATCGAAGGGGCTTTCGATTCAATTCCATGCGATTCGATTCGCTTCGTCTTCTGCCGCTACAGAAATTCACTTTCAAAAACACAGTTCAACTTTCATTCAATCAAAAAATACATCGATAATGTCACCCAGCCGAAATACCCAACGCTAATTATGACTGACTGACTGACTGACTCACTCGCTGAGCGCGTAGAGCCAGCTCCGCGTCAATGTCAAAAGCGGCAGCCACTTGCTGCTCCAAAGTCAAGGAGCGCGCCTCATTATGCGCTTAATCGCAGCGGCCTGTCAATCAAGTGGCGTAGAAATTTATTCAAAGAGAGTCGAGGGGTTTCGGGAGATGCCGCAATGGAGTCTTGGAGTGGGCCAGCAAAAGAATCCCAAATGAAAGTGCAATTGCGGCAATTGCCAGAGTGGGGCCAGTGCCATTGGTGGTGTCTCCAAATTGCCGCGCTTATTATTATGGTCTAGATTTCCTCTCGATTGCATGCGGCCTGTGCCGCACGAAACAATTGCGGGTAATCTTGGATCTGGAGTCCCGCAGTCTGTGAGTCTGGCCGTTTACCAACTTTCATTCCAATTGTCAATGAATTGGCCAACGAATGTGCTTTCTGTTCTCCGTTCTGGGATGTTATGCAAATGCTGTCAAATGGAACCGATGGAGCAAACGCTGGCTCCACTGAATTTAGCAAGACCCAGCCCCGTCGATGGCCCGCAATTCATTTGGCCAAGTAGAACTAGTGCCAGCAGTCTGGCTAACTGGCTAACTGGGTAATTGGGTCACAATTTGGGAACTTGTTTGCTCTTCCCATCAGTTTTTAATGTCCGCAGCATACACAAGTCGTCGGACAACACGTTCGCTTTTATCAGTATGCTAATAAAAAGAACACAACCTGAAGCTGGAGAAGAAGCTGAACCAGAAGCTGGCGAAGAAGCCGAGGCCATTGAGTGGAGTGTGGAGTGAAGCGTCCTGCTTGTGGAATTTACGTTCGAAAGCACGCGTCAAACGAAAGACTTAAGACACAAACTTCTTGTCAACGGGACAGCCTTAGATATGCGAACGCGATTTTCATTGCACATTCAAGCGACTTGAGCTGGACTTGATTGCCACTTTCCATTGTGGCCGTCGCCTCAGGAATTTCTGGGCGGCAGCCACTGCATTTTCATTTTCATAATTCACGCATCTGGGTCACTGTGCTAATTGTTTGTAATTATTATTCAATATGTGAGGCACGGCTTTCTTGCCGCCTGTCCGGCCGTAGAAAGTGCTAATTTAATTAAATTTAAATATGGAAACGAGTTCGAAGCCGGCACATTCCAAAACCACTACCACTCCTGGGTTCAACGAACCCTTTTCTCTCCATGCCGACGCCCAAAACTGACCCAGTTCCTCCGCGCAGACACTTCCTTCAACGGCAGGCTTAATCTGCCACCTTTACTTTCACATTACACAATTCGCCTCGGTCTCCGGGATTAACTCATTTCGCTCGCTGCGATTCCCACAATTATGCTGGCGAGCAACTGGTGTCGCCGAAGAAGCCACCGGCACCCCGAAAGTCGCACGTCTATTACGGACCACCGCAATTAGGTGTAATTTTTAATGGCTCCGGAATAGTAACAATCAAAAGCGTGGTAAACATAATTACGACGACAAAACGAAACACATAATAACGAAAATGGTTAATCCCCCCCTGCGGCCAGCGATGTTGACAAAAAGCCGCAGCCCGACCAGCGGAGTCATTAGTTAGTCCCAGACCCAGACCCAGACCCAGACCCTAAGACGCGGCTTTAAACTGTCGCTGGAGCTAGAGCCGGGCCAAGAGGAACAGTAAGAGCAAGCGATTTGCTTGGCGCTTTCCTACATTTCTTATTTCTTTTCAATGGCAATGCCAGCGGCAGCTGCAACTTTCACTTTTGGCAGCCAAAAATTTCTCGCTCAGCTTCTGAGTGCTGCTCCGGTGGTGCGGTGAGGAGCGGACCTGTGGTGCGGCGCCAGAGAGAATTATTTATGGCTTACCGAATTTATACCTCAACTTTAACTTTAACCGCAGAGCAAAAGAAACGCATAAGCCATGTGCCGCCGAGCAGACAAACCAGAACGGTAGGTTGGATCGGACGCAAAATAAAAACAATTAAAATCAGTGAAATTTTTCGTATAAAAGTATGAGGCAACTGGGCAAGGCAACCTTCTTGCAGCGGCTGTCGAAGAGCTGGCCGCCAGTCCGGCTCACGTTTTTTCTTTCTGTTGATTTCTTGTGTGAATCAGCCAGGCAGATACCAGATACCAGGCCCCAGACTTCAGACCCCAGATCCCAGACCCCAGAGGAGGTACCACAAAATAAACCAACAACGGGGGAGAGGCAGAAAGGCAGAAAGCCGTGTACGTTGCCTGACCCCGTTAACGATCATTGGACAAACAGTCGATGGCGAGTGCCGAAGTGCGGCTGGAATGTGGACAAAGCCGGGTCTTGGGCTTGGAAACCCTATGCTTATTTGGTGGGATCCCAGAGGCACTTAAATGCACTTTAAAATTATTTTTTAGACCAACTAAAATAAGTTCAATCCATGTTCTGTCTACGCTATAATTCCTAGATATATTTACATCACAAAATTATTTATTTCAATACATTTATTCTTGACTATTTTACAATTAAAGTGGAAAGTTAAGGCTTCTTAGACTTCCAATTTTGTAATACTTTGCTGTGGGATTTGAGATTTTCCCTGACCTTAGGCAGTTTCCATTTTGATGGCCTTTAGGCATTTCCCTTTTCCCCAAAAACCCGCCTCTGTATTAGTCATTCGGATTAATTTGCATTTCTTTCTGGCGAAAATAAACGAACAGGCAAAACAAAACAAGGCGAGAAATTTCACTTTTTAAGGTGCGTAATCGCTCTTGGCCACCACATCACACACTCGCACACTCGCACACTCGTTAAATCTACGCGACTTGTGGGCCGGCTGGTTGTTAACAAATCTCGGCAAGTGCACACACCTCGGGCCATCTCGTGAATCATTCGAGTGGTGCAATCAGTTCGAGCGAATTCCCGAAAGTCGAGAGGAAATCCGTGTGGCCCCCAATCGGATTTCCGCTCGGATTTCTCGCCCAGATTCATAGACACTCGTAGAAAGTGACGCCCACATATGCTAAGCGGCGATTAGCATATAGAAATGAATAACCCCAATGGCCAAATCGAGAGGAATTCCTTCCCCAGAAGAAACACACACACTCTTCATAGAGAGCGAATAACTAAAAAATCAATAAACCAAAATAGCCGCTAAGCGTTAAGCGTCTAAGAAATGGCAATGAAAGTCACGGCAACGTGCCTGAAATCTTAATTATAATAATGCGCACATTTGCAGGTTCTTCAAAGTGAAATGGTGAAATTTCAGCTTGCGCCGCCGCGCCAGAGTGTGAAGTTCAAGCGGAGAGCACTTCGAATGCCACACACACACACACCGTACACACTCTAAGCACACTCTCGAAAACTCGAATCCGCTGCTATTTTATTAGTTTTAATGAAGTCGACGACGGCGAGTCGAAATTTACAACGACTTATGGCACAAAGCGAGGAAATTATGCGCTGCACACATGCGCCGTCGCGGACGATATGGATTTTACAATGGAATTGCTATTATTAAAGTACTGTCCGAGCAATCAAATGGCAACAGCTGCGACTGCGACTGGGGCTGGGACTGGGGCTGGGGTTGAAGTGCTGATTTAAAGAAAAAACGTACAGAAAATCACCAACTAACTATGAAGCATTGAGCGACAGTCACATATAAAGCTAAAGCTGGAGTTGAAGCTGTCCGTGTACAGGAATAATATGACAATATCACATCTTGATCTTGAAGGTGAAGGCTTTAGTCAGAAGCTTAAAACGAAGTGAAGGAGTCATTTCCGACCCTATAAATCATATATATTCTTGATCAAAATCAACAGCAGATTCAAACTAGCCATGTCCGGTCGAAAAATAAATATTTGAAATTTTTCCGAAAATTGAAAATTTTATAAGGGGTTACATCATTAAAATTGCCAAAAATTGACAAAAAATGAATTTTAATAAATTGTAAAACTAGGTATACAGATTTGTTAGCACTTCAAAAACTAACACAGAAGTGCTTTCCGAATTGAAATTAATGATTTTTTGACTTAGTTATGATCTATTTTACATTCGAACCAAAGATACTTTGGCTTACTACAAGGGTATACAAACTTTGTCGTCTCGAATATAGCTTCATGTTTAATTTTTTAATGTAAAAAAAATGGTTAAAGTCTTGTATAAACATTATTAAGCAACAACTCTCCCAATAAAGACTCCACTTTTCTCACAGTGCTTTTGCAGAAAACCAGGCACGAGCTGCGGGCAACCGCAATGTGTCTGTAAATAAAAAGGAAAGTGCCGGGAATGGCCGATGTCCAAGACAAATTCGGAGAGCAAGCGATAAGGCAGATAAGCGAGCGCGATGATTGACTATGTTCGCGGATGGATGGATGTATCCCATTTGCAGAATCGCCGCACGTCGCCTACCTGGGCAGCCAATAAATCTTTCAAGGCTGTCAGTGCGTTTTCGGTGACGAGGTCTGACTTCCGCGGGAGGGAGGATGCGGTGGAAGAGCCCGGGCCCCGTAAAAGGCCAGATCTCGAGGGGGAGCTAGAGCTAAAGCTAGTAGTAGCTCGTAGGTAATTCGGTCTAGGCCCGCTGCCTGCCGCCTCTTTATGGTCACTTGGCTTTTTGGGTTGCTAATGCAATTGCAATACGAGTGGCTGCAGCAGCGCTGGAAATTGCTATCGGCTGCCACGCGTGCCATCCAGTAAATGGGTTGGCTCCAAGTTCTGTTTTCTGTTCTCCGCGTCCGCTTACAGCTTATAGTCAAGTATATAGCAAATATGTATGTTGATTCCAACTCGCTGGCCAATTTGGGTCGCTGACGATGGCTATAAATCAGGCGGAGCACTCCTTAGCGGCCGATTGGGAACATTGCCATGCTGCTGCGACCTTTTGGGAAAGTAATAAATTAGCTAACGGTTGCCCGCCAATTGATCTCGTTATCTCCTCGTCTGTGTATATTGAATAATCCCCCAGCCCAGCGGCCACATAACAAACAAAGCTCCGACACGCAAGCGCAAGCCATGCAAAGTGTGAATTCATTACCAGAATTCAATTATTGTGCACTTTACATAACGCCAGCCAGCGGTGGTCGATGAACCTCAGCCACATTTTCGTCAGCTAGAATGCGAAATCGCGGAAACAAGTTAACGTCAATTAACATGTAGTCCACGATTTGTGGGTCAACCGAATTTGATGGGCAAGAAAGTAAGCCAGAGCGAGATCTGGTCTGAGGGGTAAAAAGCCGTCGTACATAATTGTTCTTTTGCAAAAAGCGAGTAACGATGGCTTTTTGCCGACCAGCAAAGTGCAGCAGCAGTTCCAAGGGCCGGCGACAAAAAGCCAAGTGGCAAGTGAAGAAGCAAAACAAAAGACTTAGGGCACGAACTCGTGTGGGCTTGCCCTGATTTCCAGGTCGGGTGGCGGCCAGCAGCAGTTTGTTTTTGCCTTCCACCTTGCCGAGTGCAGCATGTTAATTAGCTGCAACTGCAACCGTAATGGCCAAGTGGCATTCCCAACCGTCTGACCCACAAATCTTACCCGCAAGCTGCCTGAATAACCGATGATATCCTTGGCTGAATACTCCGCTAATTGAGTTTGTTTTTGAAAATCAATAAAGTTCACACAGGCTCTCACAGCGCAAGTGAGAGAGAGGGAAATAAAGACACTACACTGTGCACACACACGAATTACCGTTGCTGCGATTTCCGCTGACTTTGCCGTACGAAATTCAATTCGATTTTCCAAACACGTCCGTCTCTCGCACTTTTCTTTTCTCTCGGCTCGCGATCAATATTGGCTTTCTGGCATTTGCATTTCCCTCGCACGAACAATGTGAAGACCACGACGCGTCCGCTGCCTTCAAAGGCCTGGCACTGAATGAGAAGTTGCGCGGCGACAAAAGAAATTTTTATTAAAAAGAAAGCACAATCAGCCACAGGTAACAGGTAACAGCGGCAGCAACAGGCAAGACAGCTGCCAGCGGTTAACAGAGCCACTGACTGTTACCCGCCAACCGGTGGTGGTGGTGATGGAAGTTCAAAAATCGAATTTGCTGCAGTGGAACATTTTAATTGTGGAATGCAATCCGGGCATTAGTTTATGGGCCGCTTCCGAGTGAGCACTTAAAACGATAACGAGCCAATGGTCAACGATAAGAAAGTGAGATTAAAAGCCAAATAAAAACAAAATGTCTTAATCAAACATGAAAGATGGTAACTTAAAGATGGCCACAAGAACAATCACATTTAGCTTTAGTATTTCCCATATCAAAAGACTATTCGTTATGCATACATATGCATAAACATAGTTACAATTTTATTCTGCAATTATTCGATCTGTTAAAATGCAATCCCACTCGCTATTACACGTTACTTTTAAGTTTTCCATTTCATTATTATTTCAAGAACTTCATTATTGTTCCTAGTTATCCTACTATCTGTTGTTTCTTAAAGATGGATTTCTTCTGATTTAAACCGAATGTGCATCGATGAGCCAGTAGACAGTGAATTCGGGACGGTGTCCAACTATATTCAAATTGAATTGAGAAGCTCAAAAATGCTTCTTGCTTGATTTCGGAGCCGGATAATTCAGTGGCTGGTTTTGAAGCCTTAAGAGATGGGTTATCCTCCGAAACACTAGCTTCATGCAGCCGGAGCTTTTTTGGTCGAGCCTCTGAGGTTTTTCTAATTGTAATGTGTTTTAGTTCAAATATTAAAGCCAGATTTACACACTTACCGACTGACTGCGGTTCTGGCTGGAACGTCTTATTAGCGGATTCTTCCAACATATCTGGGACTTCATAGTCCATAATAGGTAAGTCGATCACCTTTAAGACCACGCGATGAGGTTCCCCTGACGCAGACTGATCCAAATCAAGGTTATGCATTGATACATCGCTAAGCGAGCGAAGTTTCGCGGCTTTTTGTTCCAGCATCCTCAGTGGCTTACCTTGAGCATCATTGCTCGCATTCGCAATCAGATTTTCGTAGAGCTTTACCAAGTCTCTAACACTCACACTGGCCAGCATGCTACCTATATAAAACAATGTCAAATTTTTAAAAATCAAAACCGTTGGAAAATAAAAAGACTGGTAATTTGTACAATAGGTTTGAAATGACGATATAAACTGAACTAAGAATCTAAAGTGTAGACAGGTAATGCCCTGGCTGCTGGGATACCGAACTTGTAGCATTTTGGGCAAAATATAGCGGTATTCGATCTAGGGAAAGAAAGAAAGAGCCTTTTAAAATCATATCAGTGGAGAACAACAAAAGAAGGATCGAGTAGGGATCATTCTTCTTCTTGTCCGTCTAAATCTTCCCACCATCTGAACCATCATCATCCTCCTCGACACTCTGAGTTCTTCGGAAAAAGTTACCCACTCTATTATAATTGGAGGAATAAAAGCAAATTTAATGCCCAGAAAGAGGTGCATAATGACTGTAAGCACAAATTTAACTAGCTGATGTTACGAGCAACAGCAACAATATTTTCGTGGCTTACAAAACGCCACCAAACTTCCAAGCAGCAAACAGTGAAAGCGGAAGCACTTATTATTCTCTCTATTTTGCACCAAAGAGTAAAAAAAGTAATGGACAAAACGATGAAACGACGGCAATCAAAGCAATACATATAATTACTTCATTCACAAAACGCAACCGGAATCGGATCAGGGCCACAAACTCTCTGGAAGCACTGGCAAATACCAAAGATGGGCATTAAATAAGCGAAGGAAAGCGGTCTTCGTTTATCACTTTCAGACCCTCCTTTAGACTATGTTTATTCGACCGATTTTTGTATTATTTTATTAATTTATTGCATAATCAAGGCGTAATTTCTCTTTTATACATGTGCTGTAGGAGATCAGACCATCAGACTCAATCAGTTTTTTAGAGAAGCCCCCAAAGATCTTACAGATCATAAGATATCAAGAACTCGACCAGCCATTAATTATAGATTAATCAAAGCTGATATCAAAAGCTAACTGGCATTAACTTACGTATCTTTTAACATACAACACAAAACTAATTAATAAAGGTACGATTTGAGGGTAGTCTCTATCAAAAATGCATTAGTTAAAATAATTCGAATGGGCCTAAATAAATAAATAATTTATTCTGCACACTACTTTCGGTATAAACTAAAATTCTGCGTAGAGTTCCAAGTCATTGACGATCCGTTGGATTTGTCCTTGCTGCTAGGCAGCAAACAGTCACTAGAGTACGCACACTCGTCGATGGGGTGATAGAAAACCATTGTCCGTTCGCGCTTAGCGCGCCTGGTTGAAGGGATTGTCCGGGGACTTGTTCCACTCCTTCATCAGCAACTGCTTCCACTGGGACATGCGTAACGATGGATTCTCGGCTTTGATGCGGGGCAGATTGTTGGCTTCGAAGGTCTTGTAGGCAGCTCGCATCCGCTTTTCCGGATGCTTGTCGTCCTCGTTGTCGTTTACACTGAAAAAATAAGATTCCATATAAATTTGGTATGCGTTTGAACGAAGTTTCGTAGCTGCTACTAAAGCTCCTTGAGTACTTACCTTAGCACTACCAAAGCCTCGTCAATATTGGTGGCCACATCTGTGTCGGCCATTGAGCGATTCAGGTTCTCCTCCACGACGTTGCTCTGGACCACAACACGCGTAGCAGCTGGCTTGTTGGCCTCGTTGATCGCCTCGATAACGCGCTGCTTCTTCTCCATCTCCTCTAGAATCTGCTGGCGGTTGATCTTGGCCAGCGGCTGCTTCCGCTGCGTGTTAATGGAGCTCATCTCCTGGTCGAGCAGAGCCTTGGCCTCGGCCTTCCGCTTGGCGGCCTCTGCCTTTTTTCGTTCCTCCTCATCCTTGCGCTGCTGCTTCTTGGCAAGATTTTTGTCGTCGTCGCGCCATAATCGGTCCTCCGCCTCCTTGGCCTTCTTGTCCTGGGTGGCCTTCTTCGTGGCTTCCTTTCGCTCGCGGGCTTCCACCGCCTTTGAGTTGATTCCCATCTTCTTAGGCATTTTTAATCCAAAAATGTATTTCTAAATATTTGTCTATTTTCTTATTGATTTGAGGCCAGTGTGACCAGAAATGGAAACGTTAAATGCTGTATCATTTATAAACACCCTAATTTAGTGCCTTTTTCGAGAAAAAGACAAGTTTATTCTAGCAACTTCCTACTGCAATGGTATTGCCTAAACTTAATTATATTCCTTTCATTGTTCTTTTATGAGCTGTGTTATACAATTCTTGTGGACTGTTCTGCATCGCGGTCCTATTATTATGGCCGCAAGTGTTATTGTTCATTAATATCTAGCATGCCCTGGTCACACCATTTCTTCGTTTCTGTTTGTTTACAATACATTGGTTTTAATACATTCGGATTAAAATGGATATCCTGAAAGCAGAAATAGCCCGCAAGCGCAAGCTACTGGAACAAAAGCAGCTGGTTGACGACAAAAAGAAGTACTTCAGACGCGGCGACCTAAATGCCAAGGACACGGAGGAGGTGCTCCAGAAAGTGGGATACAAGAAGCAAGAGTCGGTTGAGGCCCAGGGACAAACCACCGAAGGCGCCTACAGTTTCGTGGCTGACGGCCAGAACATCCTGCCGCGCACAGAGGTCATCCGGCGACTGAGGGAGCGTGGAGAACCTATCCTGATATTCGGCGAAACAGAACCAGAAGCCTTCGACAGATTGCGACAGTGCGAGATCTCGCAGCCGGAGGCGAATCGCGGCTTCCGCAATGACTTCCAGGAAGCCATGGAACAGGTTGACGCCGCATACCTACAAGAGATGTTTGCCAACACACCCACCGCCAAGGAGGACAAAAAGTCTGACTTCGCCGAGCTAGACGAGTCCGTGTCATGGGAGAGTATACAAACGATGGCCCAGAAGATGGGGCGCAACAAGGAATACGACATGGACGTTATAATAACACTGCTTACCTTCTTGCTTAAACTTTGGAACGACCAGATCGCCAACTATAGCAAGCACGAGAAGATGTCTACCAAGGTAAAAATGACGCGCGTCATATACACTCAGACCAAAGAGTACGTAAAGCCTCTGTTCCGCAAGCTGAAGCACCACACGCTGCCAGAGGATATCCTAGACAGTCTGCGCGACATCTGCAAGCACCTGCTCAATCGGAATTACATCACCGCCAGCGACGCTTACCTGGAGATGGCCATTGGCAACGCTCCATGGCCCATCGGCGTGACCATGGTGGGTATCCATGCTCGTACTGGCCGGGAGAAGATTTTCTCCAAGAACGTGGCCCACGTGATGAACGACGAGACGCAGCGCAAGTACATCCAGGGTCTCAAGCGCCTGATGACCAAGTGCCAGGAGTACTTTCCAACAGATCCTTCCAAATGTGTTGAATATGTCAGCAAGAAGGATCGCGAATAAACTCAAGCTTTATATTATTAGTAATATAATATCAACACTATGCGTTTTCTATTAACAATATTTAGTTGTAGAGAGCCAAGGATGGGGAGCTGGAAACCACGGAGAGCTTTACTTCTTTCCGAGCTCAGCGGAGCGCTGACACGACTTCTCCACAGCATTTATTAACGTAGCTCTAAAAGAAGGATATATTATTTTTCAGATTAAAAGACTATAAAAGGTATGTAAATCAAACCACCTTAGATTTCCTTTCTCCAGCTCATGAACGCCCACAATGGTGGAACCGCCGGGCGAACACACCTCATCCCGCAGCACGGCCGGATGCTTGCCGGTCATAAGCACGGTCTTGGCTGCTCCCAGTAAAGTTTGAGCTGCGAATTGTAGAGCCATCTGCCGGGGCACCCCTTGCTTAACACCGCCGTCAGCTAAAGCTTCGATGATAGTGTAGACGAAGGCCGGACCGCAGCCCGCCACTCCAGTGACGGCATCGATCATGGACTCTGGCACTTGCTGGGCCAGGCCCAAAGCGTTGAGCATGAGATGAATCTTCTCCAGGTCGTGGTGGGAGACCCGCGAGTTGCCCGTGTACACAGTGCAGCCCTCACCCACCTGCATAGATGTGTTGGGCATGGTGCGGATCACCTTCAGTCCGGAGTTCTGCAAGAAGGCGAATTGCTCCTCCAGCGTTTGGAGGGTGGTGCCAGCCAGTACCGAGACAATCAGCTTGTTTGCATCCTTGGCGGACGGCACGTGCTTGTACTTTAGCTGAGCTGCGCAGGGAGCGAGCATATGCGGCTTGACGCATATGAAGACTATGTCTGTGTGCTCCAGCACCTGGTTATTGTCGTCACTGGTGTCAGCTCCTAGGTCCCGCCAGCGCTGTAGGTTTTCGATGTGTGGGCCCGAGACCAGCACCTGGCTGGCCTTCACAATACCGCAACGAACGAGCCCGGAGCCGATAGCAAAGGCCATGTTTCCGCCTCCGATGAAGCCGATCCGTTCGTCCAGCTTGGCCATGTTTCAGTTTCAAAGGTTTTTGTTTTTAAATGATTCCAACCGCTTAATTGATGTTAGATAACTTTAAAGCCTCGTCAAGGTGGTCCTATTGTCAATAAATAGGCTTTACTGGATTTTTATCGCACTCCTAATCAATAACAGCTGCTGGGCGCATGGGTGTAGTTAAAAACAAATGATTTCTGGGGAAGACGCAGAAGTTTTGGGGATGTCAAGGGTGTAGCTAAATTTACTAAAAGGGGGTTTGAATCAGAAAAATAATGTGGAAATTAATGGGAGTAAAAAACAATCATTACAATATTCGAATGCTTACGAAAGTATTGAAAACATATTTTAAAATCACAAAATCCACCAGAACCATAATTAACCCCTTTTGTAACTTCCATAAGCTACAATGGGACCATATATCTGGTGGACAAAAACACCAAATCAGCTTAACAATCGTGCTGCTTGAATACTTTGTTATGATTTCTTCCGGGCATAGGCTCCTAAAGAATCGGGTAATTTAACTTTTAGCCCGCAGTTCCAACTCATAAAAATGCGGAGACACTTGCAGTGGAGCATTAAGCAGGTTGGTTAATACATAATCTTGCCAGAACTTTTTTTAAACTCCATATATTTCAGCTAACGGCCGGTTACGCGGATGGGCAGTTGTCTCCCCGCCGGGTGTCGGAACAAGCTTTAGAGGATGCGTTGAAGCTGAAGACACTAAACGCCTTTATAAGACTTACTCCTGAACAGGCGCTCCAGCAGGCGCAGGAATCAGAGGAGCGCTATCAGAAGAAAAAGGCGTATGGTTCCCTAGACGGAGTAACCATTGCTGTCAAGGATAATTTCTGCACCCAGGATGTGCATACTAGCTGTGCCTCACGGTATGAATGAAAGAGAATTATTTGTACGTCTAATGCTGATTATAATCTTTCTTTTCAGGATGCTCCAGGACTTTGTGCCTCCATATGATGCCACTGTCTGCTCCCGACTGAAGCAATCCGGCGCAGTACTTTTGGGAAAGACCAATATGGATCAGTTCGCCATGGGCGCCGGCACCGTGGACTCGCTGTACGGTCCCACAAAGAACATCTGGAGCGAGGACCTTAAACAGGACAACTGGCGCATTGCTGGTGGCAGCTCTGGAGGATCTGCATCCGCAGTAGCCGCTGGTCTGTGTTATGCGTGAGTATCTTAAACTTGTTTACGTTTTTCCACCTAACCTCAAACGCGTCCGAAACGAAAACTTGCATATTTACTAAAATGGTGCACCAAACGATGAAAAGCAAGCATTTTACACGCCAAGACTTGCAGTTTATTAACGGGTAGGCCGCACGGCATCGCTCTGGCCGCCAGCCGCAATGATATTACATAACAGACTAAGGATAGAGCACTAAATGTTTAGATGATGATCTCCGTGTCGGCGAGATCCTCGTCCGAGGGCAGCGAGATGCTGGCAGGGTCCACGTAGTCGGGGCTGACCAAATCGACGCCGGCCTGCTCACGGCGGCGCAGCTCCAGGAAGCCCTCGCGCTGGGCCCAGTCGCGGAACTGGGTGTCGGGCAGGTAGGCCCAGTAAAAGGTTCCCCACACCAGGCACAGTGTCACGGTGACGAAGAACGTCGACTTGGTCGCCTTGCGATCCTCAGCCTGATCCTTGTAGTCGAAGCCATAGCTCTGCCAGTTCTTGGGGTTGGGATTGGCGAAGTCCTCCGTTGTGACAGAGGTGGGGGCGGCAATGGTCTCATCTTTCTTTGGCGATGTCTTGATGCTGCGGCTGGCGTGTATGGTGGCTGCCTGGCTGGCCACCAGGGAACGCTGCAGCGCCACGGCGCGGCTGGTCAGACGAAAGAGCGCAGACATCGCTTTGGGAGACAAATTAGATCGCAATTTTCGTAAATAATCAAGTTTTCCTCGTTCACACAAATTTCTGACAGAGTGCCCGTTCGTCGCTTGCTATCAGCTGTGCTTCAATGCTGCCCATTCACTGACTACCAATTGTGGTATATTTTGTATACCTTGGGGAACTTGGTATTTTTAACGAATCTTTGTATTTCAAAATATTTAAGTCTCATAGCGAGATGATTGTTAGTTAAACTTTATAAATCATTTTTATTTATGGAATATTTATGTGAAACTTTGCCCACAATTTTATAAAGAATCTATTTGAATTCCGCTTTCAGGGCAATTGGCTCCGATACGGGGGGATCCACACGAAATCCGGCCTCCTATTGTGGAGTGGTAGGCTTAAAGCCAACATACGGCTTGGTTTCCCGCCACGGGCTCATCCCGCTAGTCAATTCAATGGATGTTCCTGGAATTTTCGCTCGCTCCGTCAGGGACTGTCTGGAGGTCTTAAACGCCGTGGCTGGGCCGGATCGACTGGACTCTACTACCATCAGGAAACCATACACAAGGCTGATACTACCAGAAGTCGAGAAAATTAACCTAAGCACAGTGAGAATCGGAATACCAAGAGAATATCACTGTCAGGGCCTCTCCTCTGAAGTTCTGGAGACGTGGTCCAAGGTGGCCGATCTCCTGGAGTGCGCCGGCGCCTCCGTGCGCCAGGTGTCGCTCCCCAACACGGCGGCCAGTATTTTCGTGTACTCCATCCTTAATCAGTGCGAGGTGGCCAGCAACATGGCCCGCTATGACGGTATTGAGTACGGTCACCGAGCATCGAATGAACGCAGCACGGAGCAGTTGTACGCCCTGTCCCGGGCCGAGGGCTTCAACGAGGTAGTAAAGACGCGAATCCTTACGGGAAACTTTCTGTTGCTGCGTAGGAACTATGACCACTACTTCGAGAAAGCACTGCGGGTACGCCGTTTGATCGCAGAAGATTTTTCCAAAGTGTTCGAGCCATCTCCCGCCGAGGATCGCGTGGACATCCTCCTCACACCGACAACTCTGACCGAGGCTCCGCGCTACAAGGACTTTGCCTCCCTGACCAACAGGGATCAGTGCGCGGTGCAAGACTTTTGCACGCAGCCGGCCAACATGGCAGGCATTCCCGCCATATCTATACCCATTCGACTCTCCCGAACAGGCTTGCCCCTGAGCTTGCAGCTAATGAGCAACAGCCTCAACGAGCAGCTACTGCTCACAGTGGCAAGTTGGATTGAGGCCCAGGTCGGATTTGACAGCCTAGCGCACAAGCAAGAATGCAAGTCCAGTGCATAAAACGAACTGCTCCCTCTATTATAAATACTGTTAAACGTTTAAAGGACTATTTTTTTAATGAGATACTTGGGTTTGCATGAGGGACCTGGGATAATGACGCTTAAAACAAGTTAAAAACTTAAACAGAGACTAAACAAATTTTGCAGCACGTATTAATCCGTCGCTGGTGGCAATATACACCATGTTGTTATCACCACAACATATCCCATTCACGATACTGTCGACATTAACCTCGCCCAGAGATTTTGGTTTTGTCGATCCAAGATCGGTCCAGCCCTTGACCTTTTTATCGTAGCCACCGGAGTACAAGAATGCCTCGTTCCCGCAAATAGAGGTGACAATCCACTCGTGGCAATCCTGAAACAAATTATCTTATTATCCATTTGTTATTTAGGAATAACTCAGAAATGGACTTGCCTTCATTTCCCATATGTGTGCATATTGTTTCTGTGGCAGATTATTGACCAGCTGAAGGCCCATTCCCGACCGATCAGGGAAGGCTAGGAAGCTCCGATACCCATCGACAAGCGGGCCGAGCAGTAGAAGGGGCGACTTGCCTGGGATCACAGCCTTGTTGGTGTACTTTCCAGACTTACCTATGCTAACTGAAGACACCACTACATCCAGGTCGCGCACAGTGTAGATGAGCTTCTGCTCTCCGGCCAAGGACTTGACCTCCTCTACAAGATTGTACTTAAAGAGCATACGATCGTTGCTCCAGGTGGTCACCACACCTTTGTCATCACCAGTGTATAGAACGGAGCCATCGCAGTACATAGCCTGGATGGCGTCGTCGCACCGGAAGAGCTCCTGCACCCCAGCGTCTCTGTAAGGCGGCAGCATAAATCGCACCTGGCCGTCGCAGCTGCTCGAATAGACCTTTCCGTGCTGGTTGATAGCCATACAGTAGATGTAAGCCTCGTGGGCATTTACGGTTGCCAGCAGCTGCAGTTCCGGCGACCAAATCTGCAAGGGGGACGGATAGTTGGATTGAACGGACCACCGCGTACCAGATCGAGGAAGCGCGGTATACCCACTCGGATTATACCATCTGCGCCGCCGGAAAACAGCTGGCCATTGAAGTACGCCACACAGGTGGCATCCCCCTCATGCCCCTCCGAAGACGTGTGCTCGATGCGGGCGTTGTTGGCCATTTGAAGAACGGGAGCAAACTAAACGGTTCCCAACCAATGGTCCTCAGTCTTCCAACATGTTCGGTTTATATATAGCATGGTGCTCTCTGTGTTTCTATAAATAATTTCCACGAACATGGGATGGGGAAAGTAAGACACCACTAGTTTATAAAATAATAAGCTTACCTTAAAATTTGTAAAGAATATTTATGTATTTAGCTTAATAGTCTTATAAAATAAGTAACCATTTAGTTGAAAATTATGTATAAATAATTTAACATCAACTTACTTATAATAAAACCAAATCTTTAAGTGGATCATTCGAGTAATATTTTTATCTAAATTAATTAAAAATAAACAATAAATCAATAGATCAGTTTACAAATTTCGAAATTTCTTTCCGTTAAATATACCGCAACCCAATACAAAGTTCAAATCTAAATAAAAATACTAAGAAATACTTAATGCAGTTTGGTCACTCTTACACTTAACTAACAAACACAAGTTAAGCAAAATTTAGATTGCAACGAAGAAATGGCTCAAGTGGCTTTTTTAGACAACCTGCTGAGAGAATACCTGGTTTTCCGCGGATTCTCTAGCACTCTGAAGGCCCTCGACTTGGAGCAGCGCACGGAGAAGGACCAGCACTTCAGGGCGGAACGGATTCTGGAGCAGTTTAACAACGCCATACAATCCTACGACTTGCAGGCCCTTCGTAGTCTATGGCTTCACCTGGATAACAATCTGTTTTCCAAGCTGGAGCACACATACGCCGTTGGTAAGCTATCGACACTTCACTCTTGACACTCGAATCTTCAGCGTAATGACTAACGTATGGCTAATCCCCTCTAGCTGTGAAGAAGCTAGAAAACAGTCTCCTGAAGTACTACCTGGTGACGGCCTACAGCAATAACCGAGCAGACAAGGTGTCGGAGTTCTTCAACAAGATGGCAGGCGAGCTGCAGCAGCAGAGCGAGTGGAAGGATTGGTTCTGTAGGTTGCATGACTCTCCAGGCCAACGCCCATTTCACGTGATTTATTCATTTTCAGACTTTCCCTTCTGCCGAAATGCGGAGGAGTCGCCCACCTTCGCTCTGTTCTTCACGAAGCAATGGCAGGATACTTTACTTCTCTCCCTGCGCAACTTTCTGACCACTGTCTACCAGTGCCTGCCGCAGCCCACGTTTGTTCGAGCGGAGCAGGAAGCAGCCCTTATGCAGCGGCTCAGCGACGACAACACCGGCCTGCGCACCCGCCTCCTTCAAATGCAGCAGGAGCTGCACCAATTGACCCAACAGCAGCAGCAGGTGGGAACAGCAGCAACCGGCGGTGGTTCGCTCGGTGGTGATGGCTCTTCACGCCGACGCAGCGTGTATCGTCCCCAGCAGAGCCTTAGTGACATTTTGCCCTTCGATATCAGTCCACCAGGTCACATCGTAGACGATTTCTGCATCATAGCCTCCGAGGCGAATAGTGTGAGCCAGGCCAGCGATGCTCAGGCTCGTGGACTCAAGCTGCTTATTCGAAATATAGGATCTGGAAGCTCGCCCGTATTGTCACGCAAGGATCAGGCTGCTAGTTCCCTGGGCGACAAGTCCACCAAACGGAGGTCTGGTAGTGTTGGACGTAGCTGGATCTAAGTATAATTTTCAGTTTCGCAGGGGTAACCCGAAAGCGAATATGGATTGTGAATATTATTTTCATTACATTCTGGACTTTATTGGCTTTGAATTTGTTCGAAACCAAAAGGCTGAAATATGTAAATTACCAAATAGGTATGGAACATCATTGTATGTCAAGGAATTTTTTAGCCCAAAAAGCAATATACCCAACATTCCTTCATAATAAATGGTCAAATAGCTTGTAAATCAAATATAAACTATTGTATTGTGGGAAGATAGCTATAATGGCTTGGTAATTATCTCATAAATTGAATTCTTTGAGTACAAAAATCTAAATAAGATTTCTAAGTTTGTTATCCAATGTGTGTTTATTTTTTAAGCGATTCACTTTAGTTCTTTAGACGTACGTACAAGTGTTTGCACCACAAAAACAAGGGGCAATGCAATGCGTGGTTGTAGCGTAATACAATAGTTGCAATAAATAACGTAAAATTACAAATAAATATGTAGATTGTATGGTAGGTGTACAGACGATTCGTATTCGTGTATAAAACATCTTCGTTTATACAAGCAGCACAAGTTAAAAAATACAGTTTATTGTATAAGGGCGTTATGTATAAGTATATATAGTGATATATGTATATGTATATGTTGCATAAAGTAGCATCGCTTTTGACTCGTCGTCGACTTCATTAGTCAATAAATGCAGTTTCGGCTTGGCTACGGAAGGGAATTGCTCATTTGTCGATTATAGTATCGTTTCTTATGGAATATGTATCCTCCTCTGGGTTAGACCCGCTCTACAACGCCGTCTCAAACGATGGCAGTGGCGGCGTATTCGCCACCGGAGCCGCCACGTACTTGTTGCCCTCACTGCTGGCTCCCGCTGCTCCGCCGGCTGCTGCGTTCGTCCTAGCAAAGCTGGGCTTTAGTTCTCCACGCATAAAGTTGTTCTCCTCGGTTTGCAGGAAAAAGTTTCGCTTTAGATCGAAGCTGGAGAGGACAGCCGGCTCTACCGCTTCGGAGCTGGCCCGCGATCCGCCGCTGCTGTTCGAGTGGTCCTCCTCGCTGTTTGCCTCCATTATCGTAGTAGACATGATGTCCGTGCGCGGGGGTGCCGCTGCTGCAGCCACCACATTCACGGGACCGCGCATCTTGGGAGCGAAGGTCTTGGAGGGCGATCCAAACTGGCCCTGGCGAAGCATCCGACGGTTAGCGAACGTCTTGGGAGACCCACTCAGGTCGAGCAACTTTAGACTGCTGTTTATCGTGGGCTTTCCCGCTCCAGCCACAGTCACCTTTTGACCAGCTCCAGTGGGCTTCACAGCGGGCGTGATAGAGGCTGAGACCGGGGAGGAGGACTTCTTAAGCAGCTCCACGGCGGAGACCTTCCTCTGAACAGGACTCGCTTTGGCGGACTTGGCCAGCAGCAGCTTCTTGAAGTCCATCAGCGTGGTCTTGCTCTGGCCAATGCGATCCGCACAGGTGTTGAGCCGCTCGGGGGCGTCGTCGCTCCAGTTTCGTGATGGCTGCTTCATGGGGGGCACCTGAGTGCTCTCCAGCTCTCCGCCCCGCGTGGGCGTTGAGGTGAGAAAGGCTCCGCTGCGGTTCCTTGGCACAATTGGCGATATGTTGCTCCGGGTGCCCTCGGCTACTGCTGGCGCCGCTGCAGCAACGGGGCGGGGCAGGCAGTCGGCCCTGCGAATGGGCGTGGCATAGAGGTCATCCCGGCAGGTTACACCACCAGCGGTGGGCTGTACCCTGGGCTGGCTGCGCCGATTCTGCAGTGTCCAGTAAATGGGCGCACTGCGCTGGAAGGGTGTGGCAGTGTCATCTCCCTGTGGCTCTGTGCTCGGTGCTGGCTGCACTTGCTCATAGATATTAGAGAAACGTTGATACCCTGGGAAAGGAAGATAGATAAGAAGGAGAACGGATTAGCTACTGGTAGATAAAAGTCTAGGACTCCACTCTCTCTTTCCTTTGATTAGTAAGCGGTTTCAAGTGCGGGTGGTTAGGGTAGAACTCGGCTATCGAGAAGCGTTCATCAAGGCAAGCAGTTCCATACGTACCTGTTTGAGTGCGTTTCGGATGACATTACCTGGGTATCCCCCACATCCCAATGGCCCGAGCGTGTATTTACATATGGCTGGTTGGTGGAATGCAGTGCTAGTGTGGTTGTGGATGCTTGGATGCTTTTGGATGGGATGGCTTGAGTTTATGTGCAGGGATGCCGTAACCACGAACCACAAACCAAATGCCAATGATAATGTCAATGCCGAATTTTCGTTTCTCTTCGATTTATTCTCGTTTTGTTTAAACACTACTTACGATTCACTTTCGTTATGGAATGTGGGGGTTGGTTGAACTTAGCCGACTTAACTTAACTGCTTGGCGCCATGTGCTAATCTTTCAAGCTCGCTACTCGTGCCACTACATTAGTTAGTCGGAGGTGGGGAAGGAGGAGGAGGAGCGTGCAAAAAACTACTTCTACGATGCTATAACATAGACAAACACACAAGCACAGGCTGATTAGGGTATCAATCGCAATAGAAGTCTTTTGCACGCCTCACAATCATCCGTCCACCGTTTGCGAGGTGAGTGGAATAATTAATTGCAAATCTGAATAGAACTCAAAAAATTAGCGACATAGGCGTTGGATAATAGACCTAAGATTAAGTACAAATCGTGATAATTATGAGTATTGAGTATATGTCGGTGTACAAGACGTGTGAACGGTGCAAAAAACTATACAGAATGTACATTGAATTCATGTTGTGTTGGTTTATGTTAATTACAATTAGTTACAGACGTAATTATGCGTAAACAAGAACAAGTAGTAACATTTATTAATCATTATAGCTAGGGTTAAGAACAAACACACACACACAAAAAAGAGTTAAGTACATAAATTATAAACAAAAGGATTAATTTTTATACACACAGCTTGATTGAAATAATATTGGTTTAAGAATGAGTCAAGTCTCTGGTTAAAAATCTCCAGTTTCAATCTGTATAAACAGTGTGTTTACTATTTGTTAAGTATTTTGTTTCTTGCAAGCCAGCTGGCACAGCAGTTGGATAAGCACGACTTTGAGCAGCATATCAAGTGTGTGGGTGGAGCTGCTCCAGCATGGACATTGAACCCCAGAATAGGCCTCCATTTCGGCCCATTGAACACGCACGCCTGCGGCCAAGTGCAGGCAACTTTAATGAGCATCGCACACACTGAGGTGGCGGCGGCGGCGGCTCAAGGATCTGAGCCGTGCCAATCTGCGCTATTACGGCGTAGTGTTTGCTCAGGAGATGGGCCCAACTACCATATCTCCGTCACCTCGAATTTCTGTAGGATGCGCTGACGACGGTTGCCATTCTCGTCGCTGGGAAGAATAATCTTGAACGGACGCAACAGAACGCTGTCCACAAAGGACTTGTGGTACTTGGCTGGCAGGGACAAAGGCGGTGCCAACTCATCCTCGTCCTCCTCAGACTCAGCCGAGGAGGCGTGCTCGTCTGGCTTTTGTTCGGCCGAAGGAGCTTCTTGCAACAGGGCGGGTGAGTCATCGAAGTTCTCTAGCGACTTGTTCTTCAGATACGAGGAATCGTCACCGCTGCTGGTGAGAGACAGCGAGAACTCGTCCACCAGCCGCTCAAAGGACTTGGCTATCCGCCGCTCCGCCGCCCCGCCAGGTGAGGCGGCAGGCAGGTTGCTCAGGTTGCGCAAGCGGAGGGAACTTGTTGCGTGCTGCATGGGGGCATTGCACCCGAAGTAGGTGCTCTCTCGGCCCCAAACGATGCGGAGAGATTCTCCTTGTTCATCTCCAGCTTCAGCTCATCGTTGGCCAGCCGGTAGCTGTTGTTGCGCTTGAGGGCGGCCCGCGGCTGTCCGGGATTGCCAGCATTGCTGGCGAAGTGCAGCGCAATTGGGTCAATCGATAGAGGGTGGGTGTGCACGGGGGCATTGCCACTTACTTTCGCCCTCGGCGGCAGGGGTGGCACTTGCTCCCCAGCATCGCCATCACAATAGGCCCCCAACTCGGTGGGTGGAATCACATCCCCCAAACGGTTAGTTTCCATTTCAGCAACCCTCACTTTCGACTCGCAATCTTTGGGGCCCTGACGGGGCTGATGCTGCTCCCTTACACTTGATATGCTGCCCCTGACTTGCTGACTACACGGTTATTGGGGGTGCTCTTGGTGGATGCGGCTGCTGATGCTGCTGCTGCTGGAGTTGCTGTGCTGGCAGTGTTGCAAAGTAGCGTGTTATTTACAAGGGAGCGGGACGTGATTAAGGATGTGGTTCTGGGTTCGGGTTGGGTCTTGGTTGGGCAAGCGAAAAGGCAGCTGCTGACGGTTGATGGGTGCTGCTCGGGCTTACCTTCTTCGCCGGAGTGGCCCGATGAGGAGGAACTGGTGGCAGTGGATCCGGTGGATGAGTTGGACTTGCCCGAGGGCGAGGGCATCATTAGGCTAGCCACGGGCGCAGCAATGGTTTCATAGAAGGGATTCGTGCGGTTGGCCAGTAGCTGCTTCTGCTCCTGGTAGCTGCTGGCCGTTGCTCCGTTGGTGGCCTGATAGGCGGCCATGCTGCTGCCGCTGCTGCTGCTGTTCCTGCTAAGCGGACTCTTGGCCACAATGGGCCTCACATTGGCCACCTTCCGGTTGCCAGCGAGTAGTCCACCGCCGCTGAGCAGCAGGAGCTTGGCGCTCTTAGTTGTGGCTAAAGTGGGTCCTGCTTCGGATGTTGCTGCTGCTCCGGCTGATGCTGTTGCTCCTGTCGATGCTGCTGCACTTTCTGCACTGCGAAGCGCACTTTCGGTTTCCTTCACGTACGGCCCAGGTGCGAAGGTGGTGTGTGCGCCCTTGCGCCGCTTCAGACTGTCGGAGTCGTAAACGACCCTCCCCTCGGCGTTCGGACGCAGCCGACGGCTGGCCGAGACGAGCGGCTTCTCCTCGCTAAGCTCACCGATTTCCGCGTACATCGGCACCCCATCCCCGCCGCCTAAGCTGGAATGCTGCTGCTGTTGCTGCTGTTGCCTGCCAAGCGACGGTGGTGGTTGTTGCGAGCGTGCGACAGCTGCCGGCTCCGTGGCAGGCAGCTGTGCGCAGGCCTCGCTCTCCCGGCTCTCCTGGCTCTCCGCCGGAGTTCTGGCCGAGACTGCATGCCGACGCAAGTGCTGGGGCAGCTCGTTCAGCGACACGTACTCGGAGACGGCGGGCTCGGCGGCACGGCGCGTAACTATGTCATTGGAAT